AGTGGTGTGTGTGGAAAATGTCTGAGTGAGCTTCTATGTAAGGATGGAAAAGAATGAAATATTTAATTCTGATGAATCAAAAGTTTTCACTTTGAAAATCTCAAAAATGTTTCAGCATTGCAAAATGAAGATTTTAAGGTTTGAAGTTTTTTCATTTGAGTTTTTTTTTTTTCTTCTTTTATTTCACTGAAAAAAGACTAGGAATTCCTGATCTCTGATTTAACCATGAGCATACACTTAATTCTTCAATGCTGAAAACATCTGGATTCACAAGGAAAAAAATAAATCTCAGGTCACTTAAATATTAAGGAATCACATTTTGAATTAGATTTGGAAGAGTTTATTTTTCTTAAAATAACAGAATCATTGAGGTTGGAAGGGACCTCTGAAGACCCAGTCCAAACCCCCAGCTCAGGCAAACTGCAGGCTGTCTTTAAGGACTATGTCAAGTTGGATTTTAAATATCTCCAATGATACAGGTGCCAAAACCTCTCTGGGCATCCTTTTCCAATCTTAGACCACTACCATATTAAAAAATATATATTTCTGACCTTTAAGTGGAATTTCTCGTACTTCACTTTGTACCTCTTGCCCTGTCACTGGATACCACTGAGGAGTCTGTCTCTGCCTTGTTCATGCCCCTCCCATGAGGTATTTATACAGACAGATATGTGTATTTGTACACCTCTGAACCTTCCCTGCTCCAGGCTTAGCAATGCCAGCTCTCTCAGCGTCTCCTCATAGGACAGATGCTCCAGTTCATTTGTCATATCTGTGGCAATTTGCAGGAGCTACTCCAATATGCCCATGTCCCTCTTGTCCTCAGGAGCCCAGCACTGGACACAGCACTCCAGATGTGGCCTCACCAGTGCTAGAGTGGAAAATCCAGTACTTTGCAGTCTTCAAATGCATTTCCCACTTCGATGACTGAATAGCTGACTGTGCAAGAACAGAGATAATCACCCTGAAAGTGTCAGCTTCTTCTCTGTCATGCTTCTATCTGTGGTCCCATGTAGATAAATTATGTACATATAAATAAATTGAATTATGAGTAACAGCTATGAAGCATTAGGTCAAAGAGCATCTTTCATAAATGCCTTGGACACATATGTATAAGCAAAATTATACTACCTAGCAAATGCTGAAGCTAAAGTAATTGAAAATGAGCAATAAAATATTCTCTGCTGTTCATCACAGCTGAATCAACACAGTGTACAAACAGACCAATACTGATAATAAGTTATTACTTCACAGCCTTCAGGAAGCCAGACAAGGGAACCCCATAAATCTGATGTGCTTCCTGATTCTGTCTATGCCCTTTGTATGTTCATAGCCCACAACCTATGTCTCACCTCCTGGTTGTCAGCTGCTGTGATTCAGCGTGGTGTGTTCACAGGGCACTGGGCTACTCTGAACACAGCCCCCATACCTGTCTCCTAACCACAGCTTGTTAGTGTCATGAAGATAGATGAGCCAAGTGAGGCTGGGATGCTGCATAAAATAGACTGGGATTTGTGTTTCTTATTCTGCTACCTCTACTCACCTGTGCCCTTGAAGTGTCCTCAGGACCTTGAAGAAGGAAGTAATAAATCTTACAAATTAGCTAATTTTTACACAAGTCCCTGCTAAATGTTGTTGCTGTTCTTCCCCTTGAATTGGTCCTCCCAAAATTGTATCCTGAAATTCTTTTATTATCCCTTACTGACCTGGTAAAATATAGAGAATATTCACCCACTTGCATGGCCCTTAGTTCCCATGTCACCAGACACTTTCCACCCTATTTTATAGGTAACTGTTCTATGTTTATGACCTTCTGTAGATCTCCTGACCACCTTGGCAACTGGAAAAAGTAAGAAATGTGAGGGCTAATGGCTACAGTCATGCTCTAAAAACTTTAGTCTACATCTAAAAACGCAGAAGGCAGTTTGGGGACGAGGTTGGAGAAGTACAGGCAAGCCCAGTCACTATTACCTCCTTTTCCCCCTTTGCTGATACAAGAGGTGAAGTGGAAGCAGGGACTCTTGGAACTGGGAACTCTTGGGCACCTTTTGCTGGACTCTGACATCCCCCTGTAGCATTGCAGTTTAATATATCTCCAAACCCTCCCTAGCAACAGCACCTGGAGAAAGGGCAATATGGACACTGTTTGAAAAAGGATTTTGGGGTGGCAGGATGGGCATGTGCATTCTGAGACAGCTGACACTCATTCCTTCAGGCACAGGTGAAACACAGTGTTTCCTCTTGCAGGCCTTCGCCTGGACTCCCTGCTGCTGCTATTTCTGTCAACATATAAATGACATTTAAACAGCAATCACATTAAAGCTTGTTCATGGTGGTGGTGACACACAACTGCTAGTTCTGCAGTTTTACTAAAGCATGTGGCCTATGCTGCTCCACGCTAGTCACCAGGGAAGAAGCAAGACAGGGAGCCAGATATCACTGTTGACAGGGCAGGGACAATATGTGCTTAGCAGATTAAAATCAATCCTCAAGCTGCCCTGTGGCCAGCTGGGACCTTGTGAGCCACATACTCCTTAAGCTACACATTGTCAAAGAAAGGAAATGAGGGAACTGGGGCTGTTTAGTCTAGAGAAGAGGAGACTGAGAGGTGACCTTATTGCTCTCTACAACTGCCTAAAAAGAGGTTGTAGTGAGGCTGGTGTTGGTCTCTTCTCCCAAATTACAGATGATAGGACAAGAGGAAATAGTCTCAAGTTGTGCCAGGGGAGGATTCAGTTGGATATTGGGAAGAATTTCTTCACTGAGGGAGTGGTTAGGCACTGGAACAGGCTGCCCAGAGAGGTGGCGGAGTCATCATCCCTGGAGGTCTTAAAAAAATGAGTAATGTAGCACTTCAGGCTATGGGCTAGTGGTTAAGGAGATGTTGGGATGAAGGTTGGACTTGATGATCCTAGAGGTCCTCTGCAACCATAGTGATTCTATGATTCTGTGTGCTGGATTGAGGACCTCCATATCTATTTTGACAAAGTAGATCATGGCTTTCACAGAATAAAACATTCTTAAATGGTATTAAACTGCTTCTTATGTAACACTTAAGTAACTTGTAACTTTTTAAAGCAATAATAAATCACTAAATGCTTTTAAAACCATTATTCCATAAAGTAGAGGGTTAATTGATTTATCTTTGTGCCAGAAACTATTACTGCTCTTTATTTATACCACACGTACAAGGAAAATATGAACAGCCTGTGGGACTGTCTTTGTCATTGGGCTCAAGTGTACACAAGCAACAGGCTTGAAACTGAATGGGCAAACTAAGGTTTCTGCTTTTTTTTTTTTATACTAACGTCTCATTTTTATTATAAAAAATATAACAATCATATTATTCTTGAAATACTTTAAATTTGTTGTCATTGCCAAACTTAGGCAGCGAAGTTCTCCTATAGGGCAGGAGTCCGAGGGCGTATCCAAATGGCCAGGCATCTGTAGGCTCGTGCCTTCCTCACAAGAGTGAGGGATCTGAATCAGAGGTGACACCTCTCAGCTCGGGGTCAGCACAATCACTCTCACAGGACTGGACCTGCTCTTCTACAGCCCCTCTCTTACTCTGGTACATGGCAACACCTTAGCTTACACTCTGAACTCCTATCCCTGTACCAGGTACCTAATTTCTACTCAGGACCAAGTTGAATCTTTCAGTGCCTCTGTTCATGATGTGCCCCTCAACTCCTTTGCACATTTTTATTTTGGTCTCTCTGCCTCATCTACTGAGAATAAAAGGTATAAGTTTAAGGTTTTATGTACTTTGGAAATGAGAGCAGGAACAGATGTTCTGGTAATGGATCAGACTGAGTAAAAGGCAGCAATATCATACCCACAACTTTATTATATCACTCTGAATATTATTTAAAAATTGTAAATGATGACAGGTTTTCAAACAAAACTGTTCAAAACATCTTCTCATGGCAGAACATATTAATTTTGTGCTTCAGTTGAATTGTTTTATGTAACTATATACCTTAAGCATTCATAAACATTAACAACATTATAATTTTAATGGTGAGTTCTAGGTAATAGATGCAAGGCAGAAGATGCTGTTGGTTGTAATAGAATCATCCGAGTCCTGGCTGATGAATACCCCCAATTTAAAAACTGTGTCTGCACTACAGATGATTTCTGCAGCATCACGACTTTGCTTGGGAAACAATGCAGCACTGATAAAGGTAACTAAATGTAAAGTGTTAATTATGAAGAGCAAAAAGAAATTTATAGTTTTGTAACCCTCATTTTAACTGGATTCAAGTCTCTGCGTATTTTTCAAATTTGATAATTAAAAAACAATTATTTCGTCTTTTCAATGATATTCACACTCCATTACAGAACTCTTTTTCCTTCAGAAAACCTGTTTCTATAATTAAGAATTACTTGGTGCATGCAAGGCATGCAGTTTCTGATCCAGTGTCTCCTGGCTTAGTGAGTAGCAAAGCTGACATAAGAGAATTAAAATCAGCCAGTGGATGTGAATGTGGAAGGTGAGCCACAAGGTTGATTCCTGGAGCCGATCTGTCACTCCCTGCCAGCATCCATCAGCATATGTCATATAGTAGTAGAATATACAGTTTTATTGCAGAGGAAATAATAACATCCTGACCTGTTACTCCTTGCCCCAAACCAGAAGAGTGGGTATCTAAAACCTCACCTTGATGTCATTGGAACAGTTGCTTTTGCTTCTAGCGAAATGAAGCAATTTTATATTTTTTTTCTGCTTGAGATTATGTTTCTCACCACTATAGCAAAAAGTTTAGATGGATACTTACAGATGGTAGTTTATGGTGTTGGTAGAGACTTTCAGGAGCAATTCTCCCTAACATAAATTACTGTTTTAGGTAATGAGTGAACCATGCTCTGGAGCTAGTTGCCTTTCTCTCTTTTCAAGTTATGCATTGAATTAAGATGTTAATCCATGATATGTCTAGCCTGTAGGTGGGTAAAATTATGTGGGATAAATCTCTTCATACAGTAATTTTAGTAAGGGTTATTCAGATTACTGTTAGCAGGTTAATTGTTAAATTAGACTGTATTATACAGGTACCAGAACACAGTAAGTATGAGGAAGATTCATTAGTCTTTAGGACTGAAATTATTATGGATTTACATAGAGCTCAGAATGACACTAGGGCTGTTGAATTCATTTTATTGCATTAAGACAATTATCCTTTTCCTGAGTTTGTTTTGAGCTGACCAGTGCTGATGCTCCATCCTCCATCCATTTTATATCTCTCTTTGTCCCTATTTGCACAGAATATTTGGAAGCTTCCTCAAGATCAGCTACTGAACTGAGTTTCAGGGAACACAGAAACCCCAAAGACCAAACACACCACGGAAAATTAGGCAATGACTGCAGTATTGCAAAACAACGCTGCCAAGAGGACCCTTACTGCTTTTTAGTGTATAAGAGCTTCCAGCGAGCGTGCCAGGGGGAGGCAGCAAAATGCAGGCCCCTGATGGCCAACCAGGAGTGTCTGTCAGCGTGGGAAGAGCTGAGGAAAACAGCGCTGGGAGAGTGCAAGTGCTCAGAGCCACTTCAGATGAGGTGTGTTAAAATATGGAAGGGAATATTTAACAACCCTTGTTTACAACGCTCTCAAGAGAGCCAGGCTTCAGCAACTAGTGAACGTGGTGATGATACTGCTGACGATGATGATGACGTTGATGATGAGAAAGATCAGGACACTGACACAGGTTAGTGCTATTCCAGCAGTCTGAATGCTTTTATATGTAGCAGTAGTGTGCACAAGTCTGTGATAAAAGTTTCCTTTAATCACTTTCAGGTTAATATTGGAAACAGGATTGTTTTAAGAACCTTATTAAGATGTGAATGAACAGTCTGATAGCAAAATGATAATCTGATTGCAAATAGTATTGTCCTTCACTATGTTAATTTGATACAACCTCATCCAAATCAGTCCCTTTTAGTATTACACTATGATTAGAAACAACATAAGACTAATAACAATAATTTTCTAATAGCAAGAATTGTCCACCTGCCTTGACTTTAGATAATGGCAAGCAGTTAGCTAAGATTGAAAACTGTGTGCACTGATGAACATATTAAGCCCTCTAACCTCTATTTATTCACAAGAAATCTAAATTTATACTGTGATGAGCAGCTAAACTCTTCTTGAGCTCACAGGATCTATAATTATGTAGAGAATGTTATCAGCAGCCATTAATAAACTGTGCTTTCACCCCAAAACTTATGAGTATAGGCAACAGTGATTTTAGAGTTTGTTAACAAGCTGACAGGTCCTATTTGGTCAAGCCAATTTGTTTTATTCTTGTTTATTTTTACTACCAGCACTATGCCAGCAGCACAGCCAATATTTGAAAGTTTACATGTATCCTTGTTTTTTTTTTTTGTTCTAGACAGTATTAGTATAGAAAGAAAATTACAATGGAGTTTATCTGCTCTCACCAGACAAAGTAAGTTTGAATTTACTTATGAATCCTAATAACTAGTTTTAGATCTGTTTTCAGATAGTGTACAATGTATCTCAAGATTAAAATGAATAATTTTAATTTAAAATCTTGAAGAGCAGTAATGCCAATAAATCCAACATATTTTCAGGTAAGATAAGAATCAAAAAATGTCAGGTAACAATCCTGATCTTGTTAAATCTACAGAGACATCTTATCCCATAAATGTTTTAGGGTCAGAATTATCTAGATATTTTTGGAAGGTTTATAGCATAGGCTAAAAACACCTAAATAAGCTTTGAAAGCACAGAAATGCCATTTATTTTCTCTCCTCCATTACTTATTGCATAGCCTAGCATAAGATTGCATGCTGGAGATTTCAGCAGTTTCAGGTATCCCCTAGCTTCCAGAAACTGTTACATACCATGAAGAAACTTCTGTCTTGCCCTTTTCTCTTTCTTCTCCCTTATTTATCTGTCAGGAGCAGAAACTTACAGGAGGGTTGCTTAGGAGGGCCGAGCAGTAGAAGAGAGAAGTAGAGAAGATCAAATAAGGAGTTTAAACAAGGCAATGCTGGGCAAGCTGCATCAGAGTTCTGGGGAGCCCCATTTGTTTGTAATGGGAATGTTGTAGTCAGGATGATTACCAGTCATCACTCAAGAAAGGTTTTCTTTTGATTTAATTTTAAAAATTGTTATTCTTTTTAGCATACACAGCGAACAGAACCTGTTTGGATGTGAACAAGGAGTGTGTTGAAGATGAAGTGTGTAACAAACAGTTGTCCCTGTACCTTAAGGTTTGCTCAGTAAATAAGAAGTGCAACATGGAAGAATGTCAAGCAGCCATAAGGTTCTTCTATCAAAATATGCCTTTAGAAGTTGCCCAAATGATGGCATTTTGCGATTGTGTCCAGCATGATGAATCCTGCCAGAGAGCCAAAGAACTTCTCCATGGAAAGCTCTGTGCAGTTACTGCAGTTGCACCCCCATCATGTCTGAACGTCATCCACATGTGTGAAGAAAATGAATTGTGCAGGTAAGTAGAAGAAAGATTTTGCCTAATAATGTGCCTGTGAATAAGGACTTGATCAAACAATTTTTATATATATGCCATATAGCCCATCTATAGCAAATTTTTTTTCTGCATTTTATCTATTGTCTACTGTCACTTGTGTTTAATGCCTTCACAGATGTCTGCATCAGCTGTGGTAATTCCACAAGGAAACTGAAAAGGTTCATTTTCAGAAAGGTCTAGAATCTATTGTGGGGTTTGCTCCTGCCTCTTTCATGTCTCTTAACACTATTTCTGCTGGACAAACTATGCCATTGCTTATTTTCATTACCACTCTCTTCAGATACTGCCTGTCAGTCTGCACCTTTGCCCTCTAGCAGTCTGCACAAATTGTGCAGCAGACTGGACAAAGTTTGCTTGGTTAAAGTAATTACCTCTTCCACTGCAGAGTCTGACCCTTTGTGCAAAAAGGCTGTACACCCAACTCGTCCCACTCAGAAAGCGGTCATCTTGTCCTTTTCATCTCAAGCATGCTTGAAAAAAACTGTCCTGAAACACACACAGGCCACCGAACTCAGGAAAAATAACATTGTTTTCAGATTTGACTTGATTTTAGAGAACACACAGTAAGATTAGCCCATATTCATAGTTTTACTTAATTGCCACCATTTGTGCATGGTCAGTTGGCTCACTTTGATTTTCAGTGTAGTAACCAGTTCCCTTGTGGAGCAGACCTGAATTTTACCTCAAAGCTCGGCTCAAATTAACCTTCAGTTAACCAACCAAGATGCCAAGACACACAGTTCTGTGCAGGCTATTCAGACCAATGTCAATGGGAATTGGCCCTTTCTGTGTCCCTAAGAATTGGGCTACAAATGTATGTCTGTGCATGTGTACGCATGTAATATCATAATGGAGACTTGTTGAATTACCCATTATTTTGGAAATATTAATGTTTCCTGGCACTGACAATAAGTGGATATAATTAGCAAAATTAGCCTGTGAATGATGGCTAACCATCTCTATAAATCAGGAGCTGAAGAAAAATAATTCCATTAGCACAGAGGTAGCATCTGCTTTGAAACCTTTGCTTGTGTATTGAAAATATTTACAATAATGTCCTAGCTGGTGTTGTAACAGTCTGTGATTTTCCTTGTGACTTGCTTGTTATAGCTACACAATATCAACACAGTAGACTAATTTTATGATTAAGGAAACAATGTTTCGATATATTAATGTACAATATGCAACAACAGTTCACCTTTATCATCCCTTAACATTTAATGTAAGTGATAGATTGTTCTGTAATTAATATCTACAGATTTCATTAACTTTTAATAGATGTTTTCTGTTGTTATGCATAGTGCATTAAAGCCCAATTTTATTCTAGCCTAAGAGCTATAAACTGAAACCACTTGAGATTATTGAGCTGAGAAACAATTTATTTCTTCTTGTAACTTATCTCTGCTATCAATTAATTTTTAAGATCAGACGAAGTGCTTCAAATTTTTCCTGAACCTTGGACATTTTGTATTTTGTTAGCATTTGGGGGGACAAGATGTTGACATTGGATGTGGACAATTTTATGTAAAACAAATCAAAAATTCATTCTTCCTTCACACTGCCCAGTAAACTGATCACCTAGAATGGCACCTGTTTTGATTTCATTGTGATGACTGCTCTAATTTCTCTATCTGCATTTCTTCTCTGAGAATCTGGTATTGTTGGTATTTACACTGATTTTTGATGGACCCTGGGAAAAATCTCCACACATGCTGATTAGAAGTGCAGCTGCTTTTTTTCAAAAACTTTTTCAGTAAAACCAAGTTTTTCCTCAAATTACAGTTTTGCAGATTTCACTCAAACTAATTAGGTGCAAATGAGAGCAGAATTTAGGCCAGCTGTCACTGAATATTGTGATTTTTAAGGCTGAAGTGGCACCTTGGGAATACTCTTTCTTTTTGGGATAAACTTAAATGTAGTTTTGTGAAACCACAGAGTTTATAAGCTGCCATTGAGTATTTTTTTTTTCCACCAGGAAAAAATACACAACTTTTTGGTCAAAGTGTTGGAGACACGTGACAAAAAAATGCTATGACAACGAAGCCTGTCTTGAAACTTTAATCCAAGGTGACATGCCCTGTTCTGCAAACTCTGATTGCAAAGCAGCCTACATTAGCAACTGGGGCACGATTCTGCGCATGGAGTGTACCTGCCAGAATTTACCTCCTGCAGAGCAGTCTTTGTGCAAGCTCTTCCAGCACATGCTCCACAGCAAATCCTGCTTCAGTCAGTTACGTGAGTAACACCTAATAATTTAAAGAATAATTAGTTTTAAAGAGTATTAAAATGCTGGCTTACACCAAAACTTTACTGGATCTTTGCTATTGGTGATTTCAACAAGATTTGTATCTTTGATGTTTCAACTGAAATCATTTTTTTTTTCTGCTTTGGGGAAATAGTAGTAGTAGATCAATAAAATCAGCTACATGTCTGATTACATCATTTGCTAGAATAACAATAAAAGAATAATTTCTGGGGCCTATAATATTATGCAGATGAGAAAAATTCCAAAGCCTTCATGTCATTGCCTTAATGTACTTTGGTACAGTGTTTTTACAAATAATGTGACACATTCTGTTGATTTTTTCTTTTTTTTCTTCTTTGAGTCTAAAAGTTGGAATAGCTTACACACGTTTAGCAACACACTTCAATCCCCAGAAAATAATTTCAGTGATTTAAATAGGACGTCTCAAAGAAAAAGCTGCTGTGAATGGAGGCTTCAGGATTTGGCCTTTGGTAAAAACACTGCGATTAATTCAAATGAAATGTATGTACTTTCTCAAAACCAGTAAAGCCATTCATGTGTGAAATCAGCTACTTATTTTTGTTAAATATAAAAGTCCTTGCCAAGTTTTTGTTTAAGAGAGAATTTTTAGTGCAGTGAATTGCAATATGAGAGCAAATATTAGTGTTTTAATCTGAATAAAGAGTGTGCTTTCAAAGCAAATTCCATTTGTCCCCAGTTGTTCTGCTGTGGGTCACATCACAGGGTGGTTCCTGGATTCCTGCAGCCTAAAACTGAACCTGAAGGTGCATCTGCTGCCTCTGTAATGCTCTAGTTGCATCTAGGCATCTGGTTCATGAACCAGATTAAAGACCAAAGTACCCTCTTTTCAAATCTCTATCACACAAGCTATTTTTCTATATAAATCCTTTCAGGATACACAACTTGCTAGTGCATCATACCAAGTAATCTTCTATGTGTAATTCAATGTATTCTCAACCCACCTTGGAAGAGGTGACTATATCTAAAGGTTTCAGTGAAAAGCAATGACTATAACATAGTTCCATCTGAAGGAATGTCTTTTAAAACTACATATTAATTGCACATATAATTTCACTGAATGGATGAGCTATTTTTTTGTTGTTGTTTTAGCAGCCAAAATGTTACCACTGAGAAGACTGTAATTTTTTGTTGCCACTCAAAGTCTACCCAGAAATTAAAATCAAGTTTCTGAATCACTGCCCTTAAGCTTAGTTGATTACCACTAAAATCTAGAGTCTGAGAAAAGTTTAGAAGTCATATGACAACTCCCTTAAAAAAGTGATACCATAACACTGTTAGATTTGGGACTGCACTGCTGGTGTTTTGCTCACGAGCATTATTTATTTGTTTGCTTTATGGCTGCATTTAATTGTCCAATTGAGTGAGCACATCTGTGTTCTCTTTTCCT